AAATTATACGCGTATTATTGATAGGTTGTGTGTGAATAATGTAATGAATATATGATTGACTGCCCGGTGCTCTCTCTCTCTCTCTCTCTCTCTCTCCAAAACTTTTATGATGTAAATGAACTTCAGTCCAGACGTAACAGCACCTGAAGCCTGAGCTATAAGTCCCCAAACCCTACATATAGTATACATAACTGGATATATGAAAAGCTATTTCTTTTGGAAAAGTTTTAACTTATTATTATTTTTGCTGTTAATTGAGATAATGATTATCTCTAGCGCTGGCGTTTGTAATTCAAGTGTTTGTTTAATACGAAACGATGCCATAAATTATAAGACAACCTAATAGTTGGGTCTCTCTCTCCCTCTCAGTGTAGTCGTCGGTCTACTTATCAAAGCAAACAAATTATAAATTTTATATAAAATAATATTTATGTAATAATTTTTATGGTATTTATGAGAGAGAGAATGATATTAGTTCATAAAGTGTTGTTAAAAGTTTTGGGCATATATTTGAATAATGAGAGAGAGAGAGAGAGAGAGAGAGAGAGAGAGAGAGGAAAACAGATTTAATACGCTCTCTCGCTCTCTCCCAATACATACACATACATAGACCACAACATCCCTGTGCTCTCAATTTCTCTTCATTTTATTTTCTTTTGATTTTGCTTTTTATATATCAAAACACAACGAAAGAGAGGAAAGAGTCGTGTGTTTTGTCTTTTCAAATGTTAAATCGATGGCAGAAAAAGAGACAAAAAACATTATATAAATGTATGACAGTATTGTCGGCCGGCCTTTGCGATGGTTGGCCGACGGGTACGGAGAGGGCAGTGCTTTGATGGCACAGTCATGTCATCCATCACTCGGTGTCTGTTTTATCAACGAATATATTTTGCGATTATTTCTGTCATACTTTTGCTCTTTTGCTTTTAAATGTTTGAATAACTCGTCTCTCTCTCTCTCTCTCTCTCTCTCTCTTTCTTTCTCTCAGGGCTGCAGAATATCTTCAATTAAGTCAATAAAACATAGATTTAAACCATTGATATTAATTATGATTTATTTGTTTGTGTCGTTTATCTCACTATTTTTTTCTGCTGATAGCCTTCAGCCCTCTCTCTCTCTCTCTCTCTCTCTTTCTCTCTCTCCACTTGTGTTTACCGTTCGCTTGAGTAAAGAATTTAGTATTAATTTTGTGCTCAAGTCTACAGACTCTCTGTAGTATTAATGGCACACATACTCACTCACACTCTCTCTCTCCCTCTCGCAGTCTCTTTCTCTCTCTCCCATCTGTCTGTCCTCTACTATACTCTGCTCTCCACTAACTTTTCACATCACTTGTGTGTCGCGTACACTAACTATACTGTCATTTCTCGCTAACATATTATACGATTCTGTGGAAAATTCTGTGTATATTCTGTATATATATATTATGTGTATTCTGTGTCTAATGAATAAGTTTTATGGAGTTTTACGCAAGAATTCTGTTGATCGTAAAAAATATTGCATTATTTTTCTATACAATATATTAAAGTGATACCAAGTTATCAACCTTTGATATTATTAAATATTTATTAAACTAATAAACATATTAATTTTCCCATGATTAATAAATCAATAACATATAATATTTATCATGATGGGTATAATTTATTAATTACTTTCAAATAATACTCTATTGTCTGTTATGGTGTTTCTATGGGAAAAATTCATTATTGCATACTTTTTTAATAAATATTAATAAGAGATATAATATTTTGCTTAATAATAACAATTATATTAATATATTCTCATACAAACGATTTGCCATTGAATATAACGTTTGACTAACAAATAAATGTACAAATATATACATTATATGCATCGATGGTCTATGGATTACATGTTATATCAATTGACACTCAATTGGCGTCAATTAGATTTGGTTAACGATTATGACACATGAAAATCGGTATATTTATTGCTGCAAATTATTTTAATCATATCAACACTTCATTTATATAGTGTACACTACATATACACTATACACACAGCGATATAAATTGTATGTTATTTTGCTATTTATTATTAATTTTATCAAGTGGTAAGAGAGACAGGGGAGAGAGAGCACTGGGAGTGCAAAATACACCACTTATTATCTCGTTTACAATGAAATGATTGCAATGAAAAAGTGTTGGCCAAAGACGACAACGACAGACGTTTACACAAAGGACTGAGTGATAGATCAGTTGAGAAGTGTTGCAAAACTATAATATAATCGCGAAACTAAATAATAACTTAATAATAAGTGTCGTGTATTTTACACTAAATATATTATTAATATCATTATTATAGCAAACACTTTAATATTTCATGTGATTCTCAGTCAATAGTATTAAATTATAGTTTTAGAAGAAAGTAGTTTTAATTTTATTTCTTTTCGAAACGCATACAACAAACGGGAAAAAATTGTTTTTAATATTAATATTTAATTTCCATATATTATATAATAGTTGTGTTTCACGACAAGAGTCTCTCTTTCCGACAAACGTTTGAAATTATTTCTCTTTCATCTCAAAAGTCATGCAAATTTTGTGCTGAATTTTTACTGTTAAGTATAACCAAAAATAATATTGTTTTGTGTTTAAACGTAATTATAATTTTTATGTACATTTGAATATAAATTAGAGCGAAATAAAATAAAAACTTATATAACAATAATAATGATATAATAATAATGTATTGCTTTTTATTATAAATTTGTTTTGTTGTGTAACACAACTTGTGTTGACTTAACATAGATGTCGAAAAATATATATTTCAGTGCATTGAAATGCAAAACTAATATCAAGACATAATATGCAAACTAATATATTATGTAATGTTAATAATAGCGTTATAAATACTAACGAAATATATATTAAAATAATATTTTTCCATTGTTTTGTTGCCTAACTTTGGGTTAAAAGCAAATTGTATGCGAAAAACTTGTCGCACAACTTATCAAACAAAAGAAAATTTTAAAAAACATTTTAAGAATCAGTGCCAGTAGTGGGAAGTGTGAAGGCATTGAAAAAATATTTTAAAAATAATATTACATGTACTGTACACTATTGAGAGATACTGTACAGTGGTTTATACACTATAAGTGCAAAAATAATAATAATATCCACCAAAACGTGAGCCCAGAAAATGCCTTTCATGTTAAGGAACAAGACTTGTTTTACCATAAGTTTTTACGGTTATTATTATTCGTTAAGATTTTGAAGGTTGCTTTCAAATATTTCTCTCTCTCTCTCTCTCTCTCTTCCACTGAATAGTGTAATAATAAGATATTAACTGTTATTTATTTGAATAAAACAAGTCTTGTTCCTTAACATGAAAGGCATTTTCTGGGCTCACGTTTTGGTGGATATTATTATTATTTTTGCACTTATAGTGTATAAACCACTGTACAGTATCTCTCTCTCTCTCTCTCTCTCTCTCTCTCTTCCACTGAATAGTGTAATAATAAGATATTAACTGTTATTTATTTGACTGTTTTTGATAATTATTTTTTATTTTTTTTTAGTTTATGTTTGAAGTGAACATATTTTCTTCGGTTTCCATCAAAATCGCCAGTTTTTTTCGCCACAGTTTATGATAAATGCCAACAAATATCTCATAATAACCACAAAACTAATAATAAATTAAATAATAATATTAATTATTAGTTGCGATTCCCCGCAGACAATACACACGGAAAGCCTATTCAATACACACTTTTACAAACACTTTCTCATCAGTGATGGAGAATATTGTCTAAAAAATTACAACAAAAATATATAAATGAAAATAAAATGTATTGAATTCAGGAAAAAATAGTTTTTGTTCATCATTTGGTGCGGTTTTTGATTGTGTCGTAAATGAGGTTATTGTAACTCTACTCGTATTGTTATTGTGGTCGGTGTCGGAGTTAACTTACCATTTCAATTGTATTGACAGTACAACAAAAAGCATTATTTTATTCTCTCTCTCTCTCTCTCTCTCTCTCTCTCTCTCTCTCTCTCTCTCTCTCCTGAATTTCTGTGATAAAATACATTTCATATAATAATATACAACAAAAGTATTATATGAATAAATAAAATTCTCCATTCATACCAAACATTAAAAAACTATTAATATANCATTTCATATAATAATATACAACAAAAGTATTATATGAATAAATAAAATTCTCCATTCATACCAAACATTAAAAAACTATTAATATAAAGTGAATCAAATACTTTCCATTTTAATGCAACCTAAATAAATGCAAACATCAATTCACTAATATATAATATTTTACATAGATTATATTGTGGCCCTAATCTAATTGTTCGTCTAATCGATTAATATCAACGTTGAATTGCATGTGTAATACAGTATACGTGCGCTCTCTATGTCTCCGGCATTTGATTTACCGATTGTGTAATTGAAAAGTTTTTTTCAGTACATTATTGGATATCCATATATAGTGTGTATAACATTATAAACAATGAAGTTTTTCAGGCAGAGATCCTCAGCCTCCACATCGTCTGAGCATCAAAAGCGACTGTCATTTAGTGCCGGAGTTAATGGCATCAGTCATAGCAAAGTAGCCATCGATTCAATCGATGATATCGTTAAGAGACTGCGAAACGCGTTGAATAAATCGGCCGCTAATTTGCCGGACAATAATGACAGTCCCTATCATAACAGCGGCGGTAGTGGTGCGGGTGCTGGAGGTGCAGGTGCTGGCTGTGTTGGCACCGGTCATACCAATCAAATGCAAACAAACAATAGCCAGGCTATCGCCGCACAGCACCAAACGTGTGTCACAAACGATAACACAATTAGACAATGTTTAGAGGAGTTGAGACATAATATAACAGTAATTTATTTGCACACAATCGCCGCTAATAACAGTCATAACAATAATAACAGCAATAATGACGACCAGAATATTACACAGAATCACAAGAATCGCAGCGCAAGTAATAGCAGTGAATGCAAAGAGAATTCAAGCCCACAAACATCCACCACATCGTCAGCCAGTAATACCCCCACAAAAGCCAATAGTAATAACAACGCAAACAATAATAACATGAAATTGATCGACACATACACTGAAGAGCTTTACTCAACAGATATCATACATGAATTAACATAGATTTAAACCATTGATATTAATTATGATTTATTTGTTTGTGTCGTTTATCTCACTATTTTTTTCTGTTGATAGCCTTCAGCTCTCTCTCTCTCTCTCTCTCTCTCTCTCTCTCTCTCATTATTCAAATATATGCCCAAAACTTTTAACAACACTTTATGAACTAATATCAAAAAATAAATATTAAAATATTTTCATGAATAGTTAATAAATACATTAAAACTATGGTTTGTTAAACGATTTAAAACAACAATTTCCTAAATTCATAAAAACTTTAATAATTATACTAAATATAAAATATAATGCACTGTATATTAAGCCACTGATAATACTCGAACGAAAATTACATTTATGTTTTTTGTCAATTTAGTTTAGTTTGTAACTCAATTATCCCTCTGTTATATACAGCATAATGTAAGCCATTGATAAAATAACCTTTTTTAAAAAACTATTTTCAAACAATATATAATACTTTTGAGACTTGAAATTGGATTGAATTGTTAAATACATTACATTAGAAAGTGATATATGTATTGTTGAGACAGACTTTTTAAATCAACAAACAATTGACAATTTATTTCATTTATAATTGAATCTCAAGTTATATATATATATTTTTGTCTTAACAATTGTTAAATCAATACTACTTTTACCAAAAGTGAAAAGTTTAAAGAAAGTATTTAAAATACAGATCTAATTAGTTAATTAATTAAACAATTTGAAAATTATTATATTAACAATAAGTTTTTAAAGCAAACAATTTCTTTTATATAAAAATTTGTATAAACATTTTACATATAAACCTTTATAAACATGTTTTTATCCAATATATTAAGTGCAAGTGTGCTCTCAAGTTATTATAATATTTTTATTATTTGTTATTATTATATAATTTGCATCAAAATTCTGCACACAATAAGTCAGCGCTTAAGAGACTATAAAATATTTGCGCAAAAATGTTTTTTATGAAAATCTAATTTATTTATTGAATATTCAGTCAAAGAAAAAGAGAAATAAGTTTCAAATGTCACGAATTGAATATAAATGTTGTGAATATTAAATTTTATATAATATATACAGGGCATTATATTTTATATTTAGTATAATTATTAAAGTTTTTATGAATTTAGGAAATTGTTGTTTTAAATCGTTAACAAACCATAGTTTTAATGTATTTATTAACTATTCAT